AGAGAGAGAGAGAGAGAGAGAGAGAGAGAGAGAGAGAGAGAGAGAGACTGAGATAAGTCATTAAGCTGTTCTGGAAAAAATCTAGGTCACAGAACCAGTTCTAGGATAATCATCTCAGAGAGCTACTCCATAAATTACTAAGCTCATGTCACCTAAATTCTGGAAAGGAGATTCCCAAAGAGATAGGGTGCTTTTCTAAATACACCCACACAGGCACAATTTTCTGACAACCTGGAAGGCACAGAGGTTGCTGGAAAATCCCTGCTGAACCTGGAGGCCCCAGGCAGTCAGTTGCAGATCAAGAAACTGATGTACCTTACCTGAGGTTACAAACCAGAAAGGGCTCCTCATTCCTCTGGGAACCCAGTGGGTGCCATAGACCCCTTATCATGAGCACCTTCCCATTCTCAGTTGTATGAACAATTGTGTTTCTAAATTTATTTGTTCAAGCTCATTAATCTCAAGGTATAGAGCAATATCAGAGAAAGAGAAGGGGGCGATGAGAAACAGAAGGAACAAAGAAAGATGAGAGACAGAGAGCTCTTGCTATGTAGCCCAGATGAGCTTGTCTTCTCCCTATGTCAGTCTCCTAAGTGCCTGGATTACAAGCTTGTGCCTCCATGTCTAACGCATATTGGATTCTTTCTAAACAGTACCTGCTTCCTCAGGGAAGCACTATGAGATGGGTATCAATCTCCTCGTATGAGAAAGGAGGGACACTAAAGGTCTTGCATTACAAATGTGTGCACAAACACACTTTGCAACTATCCTAAGTGGTTTTTACAATTCCGGAAGAAGAGCTCTGGTACTCGAACAAAAACTACAAATCTGTCAAAAGTGACCATGAGACATCCAACAACAATTTGTCTTTCATTTTATGATTTACTTATTGTATATGTGTTGTATGTGTATACATATGCACTAAGGTATGTGTGGAAGTTTTTCTCTCCCTCCACCATGTGGGTCCAGGAGATTGAGTTCATGTTCTCAGGACTCATGGCAGCCCATGCTAAGGCATCTCACTGGCCCTTGCATCAATTCTTTCAGGTTTGGTAATCTCTTATCATTCTGATTTGAATTACAGGTTGAAGGTTAAACTCATTCTTACTCATTGCAATGGGCAGAGTTCTCTAAATGGATTTAGGAATGGGACAGTTCAAAAGTTATACACTGGTCCGGGGCTCACATGGCTTACTTTCTCTGCCCACAGGAAAGCACGTTTGTCTTAGCAAAGGTACTGCCTTCAATCGATTGTTCCTTTTCTTCACCTCCATCCTCCAGAACTTCTGTCTCCAGCACTGTGGCTCCTAAAGACACTGACATCACTCTCAAAAAGATCGGTATTGGAAAAATACCCCCAGTGTACCAGATCTGCTTCTTAGCCCCCTGAGTGGGCTGAGGCAGCCAGTGTCCCCACTACTTTTGAGAATGGCCCCATGTTTCTGCCTCTAGAAGACCTGCTGGAAACCAGGCCCTAGGTAGCTATTCACATCCTTCCTTCTATTGAGGCTTCTCCAAAGCTTCAAAGTATATTCAATTGTGTTTCTGTTTGTTTGAACAGAGACTTCTGGAGTCCATATGTCATGCTGGATCATTTCCATCTTCCTCCCAGTAGCTCCAGTCCCCACTCATCAGCTCTCCACACTCTGTGATCTGTGCTAATGGACTCTGTATAAGGTCTGAATTCTGTCTACAGACTTGCCTAATATGTATGGTTCAGGTAAATGGAATCAAAACAGTGTGTGATCTTTGGTGTCTCGTGCCTTTACTTCACTTAATTTAACTTAGTTTTCTGTATCTTATAAGATACACCTTCACGGGCCTTTCTCATGCTCTCTTTCTTAGCATCCTCTTCTTGCACCTTCTGTCTAGGCAGAGGCCTCCTCAGCCCATTGCCCCTGAGTTGCATGTTTCTGAACACTGCCCTCTGTGTAGCCGTGACTGTCCTGTTACTTGCTCTGTAGACTAGTCTGGCCTCCGACTCAGCAAACCTCTTGCCTCTGCCTCCTGAATACTAAGGTTTACGATGCATGCACAGCTCACAAGTATATTCTTGCGCTGTGGAGCTACTCTGTATGTTTTTAGTTTTGCATGAGAGTTGTAGCTAGAAGGAGAGTCGCATGTTACTGTGTGAGTCTCACTGTGTTTGTGCAAACCCCAACCCCAGTGCAGATGTGATGTCTCCAGAATCCCCATTGCACTCTCTAACCTGTGACAGCCACAGATGGGGAGCAAAGGAAGAAGGGATGGGAGAAAGAGATAGCCAGAAACTGGAAACAACACAGGTGTCTCTCAATCAAAAATTGAAACCAAGAAATGTGGTTCATCTGCACAATGGAATACTATTCAGCTATTTAAAGCAAGGACATCAAGAATTTTGCAGGCAAATGAATTAATTTGGAAAATATCATCCTGAGTGAGGTAACCTAGACTCAAAAGGACACATATGGCATGTGCTCCCTTATAAGTGGTTATCAGGCAAAAAGTAAAGGAAACCCACACTACACTCCAAAGACTCAAAGAAGCTAAAGAAGGAAGTCCCAAATGAGGGTGTTTGAATCTCACTTAGAAGGGGGAATAAAATAGTCACAGGAGGTAGATGGAGGGAGGGAAGTGGGTGAGAAAGGGGATGATGAGGGAAATGGGGGGCAGAGCTGTTTTCTGGCTCAGAAATGGGGAAAGACAAGATAGAGGGCCAGAGGGCCAGGAGAATGAATGGAAGTTGGTAGCTAACGGTGGTGGGGGTTGGGGGAATGTCTAAGATGTACCAGAGACCTGAGATGGGAAAGCTCCCAGAAGTCTTTGGGGTGATTTTAGCTGAGACTCCTACCAGTGGGAATATGGAACCTGAAGAGGCCACCTCCTGTAGCCAGGCAACACCCCCAGGGGAAGGAGAGGGACACCAACCCACCCACCAAACTTTTGACCCAAAATGTGTCCTGTCTACCAGAAATGCAGGGAGCAAAATCGAGTTGAGACTGAAGGAATCACCAGCCAATAACTGACCCAACTTGAGACCCATCCCAAGGGCAAGCACCAATCCCTGACACTACAACTGAAACTCTATTATGCAGATAGGAGCCTGGCATAACTGTCCTCTGAGAGGCTCTACCCAGAAGCTGACTGAAACAGATACAGACATCTGTAGCCAAATATTGGACAGAGCTCAGGGACTCTTATAGAAGAACTGGGGGAAGGATCAAAAGCTACGTAGGGAGCAGGAATGCCACAGAAAGACCAACAGAGTCAACAAACCTGGACCCTTGGGGGATCTCAGAATCTGAAACACCAACCATACACAGGCTGGACCTAAGTCACACACACACACACACACACACACACACACACACGTACATACGTATGTAGCAGATGTGCAGGTCAGTCTTCATATGGGTTCCCCAGCAACTGGAGTGGGGCTGTCCCTAAAGCTGTTGCCGGTCTGAGGATCTGTTCCCCTAGCTGGGCTGCCTTGTCTGGCCTCAACAGGAGAGAGTATACCTAGCCCTGTAGAGACTTGATATGCCAGGGTAGGCGGATACCCAGTGGGGGCCTCCGCCCTCTCAGAGGAGAAGGAGAGGGAAGAATGGGTGGAGGGACTATGTGATGGGTGGGAGTCATGAGGAGGAGGCAGTGATCAAGCTGTAAAATGATTTAATTAATTAATTAAATGATAAATAAATATATGGAAAAAAAAGAAATGTTCCTTCACATAGGCAGCACACACAGGTCCATGCCTGAGTAATAAACAGATAAAGCTGAGCTGACAAATGCAGAAATCAAAATGTGTTACTCCCAATGTCCTTTTGTCCTGTGTATCTATTTCACGATGTCTTTGCCAACATCTAGGTTTGGAGTAAGAGAATGGGGAGTAAGCAGGTCACCAGCCGCCCAAACAGGAAGTGTGGGTGCTCACATACCTGGACAGTGATGAGACCGGGGGCGGGAACAGCTGGAGTTGCATAAGTGAGAATGGAGGCAGGTTTAACATAAAAGATCCTGCAGGGGTATGTACTGAAGTCAGCAGTGGTTAGAACAGGACCATGGAGCTTAGTGCCCTGCTCCTCCTCGCTCTCACTGCTGGCTTCTTGTTATTCTTCATCATCCAAAGTCAGCCAAAGACCCATGGACACTTCCCACCAGGACCTCGTCCCCTGCCCTTCTTGGGGAACCTCTTGCAGCTGGACAAAAGAGGCCTTCTGGACTCTTTCTTGAAGGTGAGCCATGCACAGGACCTGAGTCCTGTGGGCTTAGCCCATGTTTACTCTTGGAGGTCATTTAGCAGGAAGAGAAAGGGACTCCTTCTAGGCTGTAGATTCAGGTGGGAAGTTCCCTAAGTGAAAGGTGACAAGCTGTCTCATGATGATGGTTCTTAGATGGGTAGGCAAATCTTTCCATGTTGGGGCTGTTTTGGGCACTGCACTTGGGATGCAAGAGATATGAAGGTGTTGAGGTGTAAGTATGTAGTTTCACTCCTCAGGGTTTGTCTTTTCTAGAAGAGAAAGAAAAATGTCAGAGGCATTAACTATAGGTTTTGCTCCTACCACCAAATAGATTAGCCTGAGGTGTTCCAGGATAAACAGGAGAAGAGGAAAGGCAGGAGGTGAGGTGAGTAGGTGGGTAGGTAGGTAGGGCTAATCAGTTATAAACACCATGCACCCTTCAAGCCGAGAACACTAGCACAGTCTTTACCAGCCTATGTATTGTTGCTTCACAAGTGGTATTTCATGTTAAATTATCACTTGTTCATTAATAATCAATGACCAACCATGACCCCATGTCCCATTGACAGAGCAGATATAGTGGCAGCAACCCCAACTTCCTGCCCTCTTTTGGTTTTTTTAACAGATCAGCCACCTGGATTCAGTGGCATAAACATTCATCTTTATTTAGCTTTCCGAGACAAGGTTGCCCCACTTTCCCCAGGCTAATTACTAACTCATGATCCTCCTTCAAGTTTCATATATCTTTTATCTGATCGGTAGATTGTTATTTCACTGTTCCATAAGGTATAGTGCTGTGGCCCCCCACCTAAAATCATAAATACATCAACATCAAACATATAGAGTTTTTTCATAGAATTGTTCCCTAAACCACATGGGAACTGACCATTTTCATAGCATCTAATCTTTATTAGTTTCATGGAAATCTAGACTGAGTCTCAAGAGGATGAGAGTGGATTATTTGTAAATGTGCACCATTCTATTCAAGGACTTTCAGCATTGTAAAGTTTGGATATTCCTGGGACCAATTCCCTGGAGATACGCAGAGATGGTTGCACTGCCAGGTAGTTTCCCAATGGTGTATACTAGAGACATGTTTGACAGTCAGGATCACCATCAGGGGTCATCCATTTCCCCTCCCAAGTAACCCAGTGGATGGGGCCATTCTCTCTGTTGTCAGGAGGCATTGATCAGGTTGAAGCTGGGTCACAGGAAGGATGGTTTCTAGACGATATGTCAGGAACTGCTGGCCAGACTGGAGGGCATGGTCATGGTTCTGTATCTACATCTGTATCTATATTCATATCTCTATATAGGTCAATGTATATTTTTTGAGATAGGGCTTTAGTTCGAGCCCAGGAAGGCCTCCAACTGGATATATACCCAAACATAACTACTCATTCTCTGACCTCTACCTCCTCAAGGCTGAGTTTATAGTCATGTATTTAGAGCCCTACCTAAACCCTACAGTTCTAGTGCATTGATTAGAACATACAACCAACAGTGCAGACCTGCTGGGTGGTGAAATAACCCTTCAATTCATAGGTCCTCAGAAGGAGAAGGGTGGCCAGAAGAGGAGATGCCTATTTATCAATCTGTCTCTAAGCATTTAACAGTTTAACAACAATGTTTGTGCTGACTAGCCACAATCCTGGTGCCCTTATGGTTTGGCAGCTTCAAGAAAAATATGGAGATGTGTTCACAGTATACCTGGGACCGAGGCCTGTGGTCATATTGTGCAGTACAGACACCATAAGGGAGGCTCTGGTGGACCAAGCTGAGGCTTTCTCTGGCCGGGGGACAGTTGCTGTGCTCGATCCAATTATTCAGGGATACGGTGAGATATGGGACAGGGTGGAGAGGAGGATATGGCCCAGGAAGGTGAGTCTGAGAGGTGGGACCTGAGCTATGGGGAAGGACTCGGGATTCTCTGAACTTCCAGTGTGACCCACCCACCATATTTCCCCTACTTCCTTAGGTGTGGCCTTTGCCAATGGAGAATGCTGGAAGACAATCCGGCGATTCTCTCTGACAGCCATGAGAGACTTTGGGATGGGAAAGCGAAGTGTGGAGGAGCGGATAAAGGAAGAGGCCCAATGTTTGGTGGAGGAACTGAAGAAATACAAGGGTGAGTCTAAAAGAATGGGCATAAAGAAGATATGAGGGCACAACCAAAGAAACAGACACACAAAGGTAGAGAAAGACAGTAGAGACAGAAGAGAGAAAAGGGAGTGAAGGGTAGGTATGGATAAAGGTGGGGAGAGAGAAATACGGAGACAGAAAAAGGAAAGTGAGGTTTTTATTATCCACAGATATCTCAGAGATGTAGATTAACCATGCTGGTCACTTGTGTACAGAAAAGTCAATCTTTAAATTAATTGTATCTGTCAATTGGATATGATTGGTGTACACTTATTATCTCAGAAGGCTGAGACAAGATGGTCGTGAGTTCAAGGCCAGACCTGTCCACATTGTGAGGCCCTGGCTTACACTGTGGTTTTATGTGAGTTGGAGAGTGTTTCCAGTACCATATATAGTTGTCATGCTTGAGTGTGACTGTAATCCATGAAGTCCGGGGGGGGGGGGCAGGATGCTGAGATTTTCAAGGTCATCTTCTACCGCATATAGAGTTCAAGACCACTTTGGCTTAACCTTCGTCATGTCCTCCCAGCCCCACAATGGTCTTAGTCCCACAATTCTCAACCTTCCTAATGCTATGACCCTTTAATACAGTTTCTAATGTTGTGATGACTCCTCAATCATAAAATTATTTTTGTTGTTATTTCATGACTATAAATTTGCTACTGTCAGGAATCATAATACAAATATCTGTGTTTTCTGATGGACTCAAGTGACCCCTGTGTTGTTTGATCTCCAAGGGATCACGAACCATAGGTTGACAACCACTAGTTGTCAGGAAGAACTGCAGACATGTTCAAAGCAGGAACTGTGTTTCTCCTTGTCTTTGTGCTGATGGGAATCAGTGAGCACAGAGGCTCATGGGTGTTGTAGTTTGGTAGAATTCTGAGGCACTTTTGGGTCCTTCATGATTCCTTACACCAAGTGCATCTCGGTGGCACAGACCTTGATTTGCAGCTCCATTTCTTTACAGCAGGCATTTGGTGTCTCTTATTATTTCTCAGGAGAGCTGATATGATGTCAATGCAGAAGTAGGAGAGGAAAAAAGGTGCAGAAACTGGGAAGAATGTCTGGAGAGAGAATGCATAGAGATTGAGGACCCAAAGAAAAATAAGCTAGAAGGTTGAGAGTGAAACTGACTAGCCTCAGGGAAAACACTACAGGGAATCGGAGACTATAGACAAGCCAGCTCCAGGGAGAGGGCAACAAGGCTCCAATACTGTTGGACAGACAACAACCCTCCAACCACCAGGGTCCATGACTGAACCTGGCCTGCAATAACAACAAGTCCTGATGGCTTCTGAAACACCACAGAGCCTAGAAGTCTGGGAAGGGATAGAGACTGGCAGCATGGAGTGGAGGATGCAGGGCTTGTGAATCCATACAGGCAATCCCTGATCCTTTCTCTGTCCTTTCCTGCCACTAGGAATTAACTATCATCTCAGAGTCAGAGTGGTGACCAGGGAGGAGGTGCATTGAGGAAACTTACTATACATGCTGTCCCTCTCAGCTCCTGGGGGTCTGAATTCTACCCCTAGTTGTGAGTAGCTATGTTTTCTTAGTGAACTTAGCTACCCTCTTTGCATGCTAACAACACTGCATCTTATGTCCAATATCCTGGGGAAATGAAATAAAATGATTCATTCAGTGCTTAGAAGAGGGCTTGATCCATCCTGTGTGCTAGTGAGATCAGCTGTTGTTGCTGTCCTTTGAGTAGTGAGTGGTGGGGGCAGCATCACAAGATGAAAATAAACTCAAATATTCCCATTTCTATATCTTCTGTCTCCTGTCTTGCCTCCTCATCCTCCAGGAGCCCCCCTGAACCCCACCTTCTTCTTCCAGTCCGTTGCAGCAAACATCATCTGCTCCATTGTCTTCGGAGAGCGCTTTGACTACAAAGACCACCAATTCCTGCATCTGCTGGATCTGATCTTTCAGACATTTTCCCTCATGAGCTCGTTGTCCAGCCAGGTCAGTGGGTGGGAAGAGAGGAGCATCCAGGGCAGAAGAAACAAGAGAGTGTCTTGTGGATGAAGGAGGGAGTGTCTTAGGGCTGGAAGGAAGACAGAGATAGCATGGAGAAATAAAGAGGCCGAGACCTGGAGGCAGGGAGGAGGCATGTTTAACAAGTTAGAGAGACCTAAATGTAGAAATACAGCACCATCCAGACATGAAGAAAACAATGATGTGTCATGAAGATGTAGTTCAGAAAGCAGAATACTATGTTTTCATGCATGATCCCCTGGGTTCATCCCCAGCACTGTATATACTGGGTTTGGTGGTATACAAAACATGAAATTCCAGCACTTGGGTGGTGGAGGCTGGGGGATCAGAAATTCAGGGTGATCTTTGGCTGCATATTGAGTTTAAGGCCAATCTTGCTTAAATGAGAACCTGTGATTCCCCGCAACTCACAAATTGAAACAAATACGAGACAATTCGGCAAAGGGGCTTGGGAAGGAGCACAGAAGAAAGGAAAAGAGAGATACAGAGAATGCAGGACAAAGGTTAGAGATGATTCAGAGCTATAGTTCAACAGCATGCATGTGTATGGTATATATAACTCTGTGTTTGTGTGTGTGTGTGTATGTGTGTGTGTGTGTGTGTGTCTGTGTCTGAGTAAGTGTGTGTGTGTGCATGTGTGTGTGTGTTTCTTCATGAAATCTGAGTACCTACTTCCTGTGACCCAATAGCTCCAGGTGACCCCGAGTCTCTCCTTCTTGCAGGTATTTGAGCTCTTCCCTGCCATCCTGAAATACTTTCCTGGTGCCCACAGACAAATCGCCAAAAACCTCCAGGAAATCCTTGACTACATTGGCCATAGTGTGGAGCAGCACAGGGCCACCTTGGACCCCTGCGCTCCACGAGACTTCATCGATTCCTACCTTCTGCGCATGGAGAAGGTCAGTCCTGCATGGATGAGAGAAGGGTGGGTGAGAGTGAAGGATGGGGATGTGGTCAGAGAGAAAGATGGGAGGGGACAGCGGATGGTGAGGAGAGGCAGAAACAGAGAGGAGGAGATGCAGAACATCTGGAAGAGAAGGGAAGGGAGGAGAAAATGACATAGGGAAAGAGAAGGGGTGTGGCTGGGGAAGAAACACAGGGCAAAGAATGAAAAGCAGACAAGACCACAGAGTCTGGAGGGAAGGCTCATGATTTAGAAATGCTGTCTGCTATGGCAGATAACCAGAGTTCCTTGCCCAAAACCTACATTGGGCTGCTCATAATTGCATGTAACTCCAGCTCCATGGACTCCAATGCTCTCCCCTAGTTTGTCTGGAAAACACAGACACACAGACACACAGACACACAGAGCCACACACAAACACACAGATACACATACACCACACACACACACACATACACACACAGCAGATACCCACAGTCACATACACATAAATATATATAAAATCCATTTTTTTAAAAGCGCGGGAAATGACAAAAAAAAAAAAAAAAGACAGAAAACTCTGATTCTAAAGAGCAGAGTAGTCCGGTGAAGACTGAATAAAAAGAGGCTAACAGGCAGTGAGACAAGTAGTGTGAACTGCTGAGGGGACACATGCCCAGTGGTCCAGACAGGGTGAGACACAAGCACAGTGACTAGAAAGACACACGCATCTCACTGCAAGGATCCAGTCACCCTGACCCTCTCTTCTCTCTTCCATCTGGAACCAGGAGAAGTTCAACCACCACACAGAATTCCATCACCAGAACCTCATGATGTCTGTGCTCTCTCTCTTCTTTGCTGGCACCGAGACCACCAGCACCACGCTGCGTTACAGCTTCCTGATCATGCTCAAGTACCCCAATGTCGCAGGTGTGCCATGAGTAGACAGTTGGGTGATCTTCAACTCTCTTTTGGCTATAGCGGGTTGTGTGGATAAGAGAGACATAGGCCTGTTACATCTGGAGCTCTGAAGGCTTTGTTTGGTTTCCTAAACTAAGACAGTGCTGTGGTGGTGTGTGAATGAACAATAGGCTGACCTGTTTTGTGTTGTTTCCTCCTATCACTTAAAGGTTGATCCAACCATCAACTCAACCTTCCTTCCCTCCATCTGTCTTTCTGCCTTTACATCCATGCATGCATTCATCCAACTTTCCTTCCCTCTTTATGTCTTTCTGTCTTTACATCCATCCATCCAACCTTCCATCCATCCATCCATCCACCATTCTTTCCTTCCTTCTTCACTTCTGTATCACATCTATCTATGTGCTCATCTTTCTATCTATCCACCTCTTCGTCCATCCACCCATTCTAGTCACTAACCCAGACATCTATTGTCTATCCATACATCCATTTGTCTACCCATCCATCTATAAGTCTATTCACCCACTCATATAGTCACCTGTCCATCTTTATAGCCATAGATTATTAACCCTTCAATCACCTGCCCATCTTATCTATATCCATAGATTATTAATCTTCGATTTGTCCATCTCTGATTCACACAAGGATATGCCTTTCATTCATTCATTTGGATTATCAACCCGTGAATTTTATTCTTTGATCAGAATATTTGAGTGGGCTGCTGTCACTGATTTGTTGGTCCGTTGAAGTATGAATATTTTCATTCCTTAATGGTTCCAACTGGCCTTTGAATTCACCTTTGATGTGTCCACCAATTCCTCCAGGTATCCATTCAATAA